CGTCTGCTCCTGCTCCTGGTCTGCATCCAGCATAAGACCTCTGGGGAAACAACTAAAGGTACCGACCGCTGCTTCCCGGACCTCTCCCAGGGGCGCGCTCTGACCAAGATTTCGGGGCGCGTCCGGCGGTGGCGACGAGGGCCTCCGAGGGGGTCCCAGAAGGGGGACAACGGGCGAAGGGTAGAGGTATGGGTACCTCTTCCTCCTCGGAATCCCGCAGAAGAAGGTTCGGGCCGGGCGAAAGGAGGGGATAGCAAAGGGGGGGTTTGAGAATCAGCTCACGTAGCTGATTTTCCCAGGCGCCTCGGCGGGACCGAAACCAGCTGCATGCAGCAGATTTCGTACCCCCCCCTTTCCCAATCCCCCCCTTTCGTCCGGCCCGACTTCTGCCAAGGCCTCTGCTTGCGGATGCCACGACAATAGACACCCTAACAGTCCTATCATTGAATTCAACATGTGTTAAAGTGTCGGAAATGCCCTAAACATGTTTGAAACATGTCTCTTACATGTTAAAAAAATGTTTAACACATGTTCTAGACATCTGGAAATTATTTGACATCATGCTTCCTCTCCATCGATAGTCCTCCACAAGCCTCTGCCTTCTAAGACCCCCCTCAACCTTCTTGGTGAGCCGCCCCCCCTCGCGCCAACCCCCTATGTGCGCCGCCGGGCTGGACTGTGACTCTCTGGTTTGCCCCACATGCGTATTCTGGTGGGCTTGCTGCGACGCGGTCTAATCCCACTGGCCCTCTGGGTGTAACTGGTTGAGAGAATGTCTTCTTCCAACCTCATTCTTCCCCTTCGGAAAGGGGCTTACCACGATTCCTTATGAGAACAAGCGCTCCGTCCCCCACTCCACAGGCCGCCAACCAGGAAACACACGCCCGCCACGCCGTCCTGCCCCCTAAACAAATATACAAAACACGTGACGGGAAACTCTTCATCGTGCGGGACTTCCGCGAACACTTTGCATTGGCGTTTACCCAGGATGACGGCGGGTGTGTGAGTATATGCTGCAGATGAGGTGAAGTGTTACAACTTTCCTGCTTCCAGCCGTGCACGTACGGTAAACCCGATGATCCCAGACAGGGGTTCTCCTGGGTTCCTGGTAATCCCAAACACAAATGTCTCGGGGTCCCCGATAACTGCAAACACCAATTCCTTTGTACCGCGGCCACTAGTTACGCACAAACGTCGCACCCTACATGGCCGATCTTAGCCTAAATGTCTAGTATGGCAAAGTGTGCATCTCACATCTGATCTGACATGATGATGATATGGGATTTGCGCGCGCGTGCAGGAAGCATGGGTCTGGGCATTCGGAGGAGGAGGAGAAGGAAGAGAAGAAGAAGGTTCAGAAGGAGGGGGAGGAGGAGGAGGAGGAGGAGGAGAAGGAGGAGGAGCAGGAGGAGAAGAGGCCACCGCCGCACTTCTGGACGCCACCACTTCAAGAAAAACCCAAGACCCCAAGAGACCCCAGAAAGGCCTCCCAGAGGCCTCAATACACCCCCAAGAGGCCTTTCTTGTATCCACGACCGAGGTACCGTGGCGGGGCGGCTGTTTACATAAGCAGGCGGCATGTTCCTCTGAGAGGGTAGGCATTCTCAGGAGCCTTGGGAGCCTTCTGCCAAGGCCTGTGCTTGCGGATGCCAGGACAAGGGACACCCTAACAATCCGATCATTGAATGTTTAACACATGTGTTTAAAATGTCGGAAAATGTCCTAGGCATGTTTAAACCCTGTTTCTTACATGTTTCAAACATGTTTAACACATGTTCTAGACATCTGGGAATTATTTGGCAACATGCTTCCTCGCCATCGATCGTCCTCCACAAGCCTCTGCTTTCTAAGACCCCCCTCAACCTTCTTGGTGAGCCGCCCCCCCCTCGCGCCAACCCCCTATGTGCGCCGCCGGGCTGGACTGTGACTCTCTGGTTTGCCCCACATGCGTATTCTGGTGGGCTTGCTGCGACGCGGTCTAATCCCACTGGCCCTCTGGGTGTAACTGGTTGAGAGAATGTCTTCTTCCAACCTCATTCTTCCCCTTCGAAAAGGGGCTTACCACGATTCCTTATGAGAACAAGCGCTCCGTCCCCCACTCCACAGGCCACCAACCAGGAAACACACGCCCGCCACGCCGTCCTGCCCCCCAAACAAATATACAAAACACGTGACGGGAAACTCTTCATCGTGCGGGACTTCCGCGAACACTTTGCATTGGCGTTTACCCAGGATGACGGCGGGTGTGTGAGTATATGCTGCAGATGAGGTGAAGTGTTACAAACTTTCCTGCTTCCAGCCGTGCACTTACGATAAACCCGATGATCCCAGACAGGGGTTCTCCTGGGTTCCTGGTAATCCCAAACACAAATGTCTCGGGGTCCCCGATAACTGCAAGCACCAGTTCCTTTGTACCGCGGCCACTAGTTACGCACAAACGTCGCACCCTACATGGCCGATCTTAGCCTAAATGACTAGTATGGCAAAGTGTGCATCTCACATCTGATCTGACATGCTGATGATATGGGATTTGCGCGCGCGCGTGCAGGAAGCATGGGTCTGGGCATTCGGAGGAGGAGGAGGAGAAGGAAGAGAAGAAGACGGTTCAGAAGGAGGAGGAGGAGGAGGAAGAGGAGGAGGAGGAGCAGGAGGAGGAGGAGGAGGAGAAGAGGCCACCGCCGCACTTCTGGACGCCACCACTTCAAGAAAAACCAAAGACCCCAAGAGGCCCCAGAAAGGCCTCCCAAAGGCCTCAATACACCCCCAAGAGGCCTTTCTTGTATCCACGACCGAGGTACCGTGGCGGGGCGGCTGTTTACATAAGCAGGCGGCATGTTCCTCTGAGAGGGTAGGCATTCTCAGGAGCCTTGGGAGCCTTCTGCCAAGGCCTGTGCTTGCGGATGCCAGGACAAGGGACACCCTAGCAATCCGATCATTGAATGTTTAAAACATGTGTTTTAAATGTCGGAAGATGTCCTGGACATGTTTAAAACCTGTTTCTTACATGTTTCAAACATGTTTAACACATGTTCTAGACATCTGGAAATTATTTGGCAACATGCTTCCTCGCCATCGATCGTCCTCCACAAGCCTCTGCTTTCTAAGACCCCCCTCAACCTTCTTGGTGAGCCGCCCCCCCTCGCGCCAACCCCCTTATGTGCGCCGCCGGGCTGGACTGTGACTCTCTGGTTTGCCCTACATGCGTATTCTGGTGGGCTTGCTGCGACGCGGTCTAATCCCACTGGCCCTCTGGGTGTAACTGGTTGAGAGAATGTCTTCTTCCAACCTCATTCTTCCCCTTCGGAAAGGGGCTTACCACGATTCCTTATGAGAACAAGCGCTCCGTCCCCCACTCCACAGGCCGCCAACCAGGAAACACACGCCCGCCACGCCGTCCTGCCCCCCAAACAAGTATACAAAACACGTGACGAGAAACTCTTCATCGTGCGGGACTTCCGTGAACACTTTGCATTGACGTTTACCCAGGATGACGGCGGGTGTGTGAGTATATGCTGCAGATGAGGTGAAGTGTTACAAACTTTCCTGCTTCCAGCCGTGCACTTACGATAAACCCGATGATCCCAGACAGGGGTTCTCCTGGGTTCCTGGTAATCCCAAACACAAATGTCTCGGGGTCCCCAATAACTGCAAACACCAATTCCTTTGTACCGCGGCCACTAGTTACGCACAAACGTCGCACCCTACATGGCCGATCTTAGCCTAAATGTCTAGTCTGGCAAAGTGTGCATCTCACATCTGATCTGACATGCTGATGATATGGGATTTGCGCGCGCGCGTGCAGGAAGCATGGGTCTGGGCATTCGGAGGAGGAGGAGAAGGAAGAGAAGAAGAAGGTTCAGAAGGAGGAGGAGGAGGAAGAGGAGGAGGAGCAGGAGGAGGAGGAGGAGAAGAGGCCACCGCCGCACTTCTGGACGCCACCACTTCAAGAAAAACCCAAGACCCCAAGAGGCCCCAAAAAGGCCTCCCAGAGGCCTCAATACACCCCCAAAAGGCCTTTCTTGTATCCACGACCGAGGTACCGTGGCGGGGTGAGCCGAATGCCACTGGACATGGCCGAAAGCCTGCGCCCGGTGTGTATCCGCAACTGCGTCGCTCCGCAGCTGGTGCGCGCCGCCCAGGTGCTCTGCACGGTCGTCTCGGACGTCCTCCTTACGTTGCGTATTCGCAGACCAGCTTATCGTGTTTCTGTATCTTGATGTGTACACGTCGGTCGGAAGAAGTAGGTAAAAACATGAAGTAGGAAGGCGGATTAAGTTGATTGGGTCCAGGCCCCCCCCCAGAGAATAACAAAACACAGCAAAAGCGTGCCGATTCTTGAAGTAGGAAGGCGCCTGAAGTAGATTGGGATCTGGGAGTCCAAAAATACCTACCTTGAACGACCGGCGTGTACAGCTTCGCACACACATATGTCAATCGCCAGTCCGATGCCAGGCAAACTATGAAGGAGCAGAAGACGGCGAAGCGAGATGCGAGGGGTGGCTCGGAAGCCGGGCAAGGGCTGCTAAATCCGTGGCTGCTGAAATCGGCCTCCGGGAAGTTGTCTCCGTCCTTCCGAGAAGAAACCCGTTGACTGTGTCGCATGCCGCGCCTCATTCGGGGAAGTTGTCTTTTCCTTCCCGGAGGGCCGTTCTAGCAGCCACGGTTTTGGCAGCCCTCGCCCAGCGTCCGAGCGGAGCGAGAGGACGATCGGGCGGACAGGATGCCTGGACATGCGCTCTCCGAAGCGATGGGGAGTCCAAGCGCTTCGCTGCACCACAGGCTTACGTCTAAGTCGGGCCTGTCCCCCCACAGTGGGATTCTAGGCGACAAATAATACATGCCCCAAAATTGCTCAAAAGATGTTCAACAATACTCAAAAAATAGTCCCCAGACTACGTTTGGACTATTTTTGAATATTCCCCCCTGTAGAGAGACATGCCCGACTTACCCTTACGTCATGCTGCGCAGCCTGCATCCGCCCGTTCACTGCCGTTTCTGCCTGCCCGCGAGTCCCGCGCATGACCAATCCCGTGGACACGACGCTATGGCATGCTGTCCGACGGTGCGCTCTTCCGCCCGTGTGGGGGGGGGCGCTCTGGGGAAAACGCAAGGTGCATGCCACGGAGCGCTGACGCAATCTCCTACCTGGCCATCGCTCGGACGTCCATTTCCTGTGTTTTTGTTAGGTTTCGTGCGTGGCTTCTTTGCCAAATGATCAAGGACGCTCCTCGATGGTCCTCGCCGAAGGAAAAATGCACACGTCCGAGCGATGCCAGGCTACATCTCGCTCGTGGCGTGCACACCTCTGCATTGCAGGCCAGCTGTCCAGCCCCCAGGGGCCCGCAGGCGCAGCGGGAGCTTCGCCCGCCACCTGCAGAAAACAGCCACGCGGGCACACCGTCACAGCACATGTGGCCCCCGTAGCGACGAACGCAGGGCGGATCCTCCACACCGCAGCCCCATTCAGGAAACACGTAGACGCAGAGGGCAAGTGCATACCTCGAGAAAGAGAGAGAGAGAGAGAGAGAGAGAGAAAGAGAGAGAGAGAGACAGAGAGACACAGAAAGAGAGAGAGAGAGAGGGAGAGAAAAAGGGAGAGAGAAAGAGAGAGAGGAAGAGAGAGAGAGAGAGAAAGAGATAGAGAGAGACAATGCACACTTCGAGAGATGGAGAGCGATAGAGAAAGAGAGAAAGAGAGAAAAGAGAGAAAGAGAGAGAGAGAGAGAGAAAGAAAGAGAGACACTACACACATTGGCAGAGAGAGAGAGAAAGAAAGAAAGAAAGAGAGATGATAGAGAGAAATAAAGAAAGAGAAAGAGAGAGAGAGGGAAACAAAGAGAGAGAGAGAGAGAGAGAGAAATAAAGAAAGAGAAAGAGAGAGAGAGGGAAACAAAGAGAGTTCCTCTGCGCTGGATCTTACTCCCCCCCTGGGTCGTTACCCCTGGGGGGGGGGGGTCGCCCACGCCTCGAGCAAAAAGAGCGCCGCTGCCCCTCGAGGAGGCGCTGCCCTCCCCCAGAGCGGGCCCTCCCGGAGCCTCCCGGGCCGGAGCCGCTCGCTGCTTTTGGTGACGCCCCCCGGGCGGCGACGCCCCCCCCCCCCCCCCTGGCGCCTGCCCACACCCCGCTAAGCCCCCATCGCGACGCGGCCGGGCCCTCTCTGGAAAGGGGCCCAGAGGACCCACAAAGAAATGCGCGCGCACACACAAACACGCAAACACGCAAACACACAAGCACCCAAACACACAAACACACACACAAACACCCAAACACACAAACACACAAACACACACACAAACACACACAAGCACACACAAACACACACAGACACACACACAAACACACAAACACACAAACACACACACAAACACACACACACACAAACAGCAAACACAAACACACACACACATCCCAGGGTTCCCCCACATGCTCCCATGTTTTCTGGGTTCTCGTTTCCCCCCCCACACTTCTCATACTTTCAATTTTTTTCCTGGGAGTCGACGGTGAATTGTGTCTGTGTGTTTTTTCTCCTCCTGACTCTCACGCCCTCCTTCTGCTTGCGACCTCGCAGCTGCTCATGACCGTGAGCCACGTCGTCTGTCTTGTACACAGCCCGCCCCTCCTTTCAGCGCGCTCGTGGGGAAGAACGGTATGCCGCGCTCCTGCCGCGCGACCGCCAGGCGTTGACACAAGCTCATTTTGATGATGGCATGGAGCACGCATGGGAACTGGATGGGCCAGGACTGTGCGACAGTGTGTGCCTCGCCAGCACGCCTGTGAGCGCCCCAAGAATCAGTGCATGGGTCATTTCGGAAACCATGAATCCAAAAACGTTTTCATCTCTTGGAGGCGCTGTTTTACTTCCGCCGCCTTCCGCCAACCTTCCGCTGGCTTCTGCCGACGGGGGCGGCCTCGTTTTGCTTCCGCCGACTTTCTGCCGCCCCTCCGCCGCCTCCCGCCGCGGAAGAGGTGCCAACTCCTTCGGTCCTCGAAGGCAAGGACCTCCTCGGAACGCCACACGACTTGGGGGACAGGGGCGCTCCCACCGCGCTGGCAAAACCCTGGCGTAAGGTGCAGGCCTGCTCTCCGTGCCGGCTCCCAGGCGGGCGCGGGCGTGCCGACGTGCTCGAGGCCCGGGGAACACGCCAAGCAGTGGGTGCCCGCATGCCGTGGGTGCGGAGGAAGCAGTGGGGCAACTGCGCGTGATATCTAAGACGCGCCTGTCACCAGGCAGACCCAAGCAACAGGGTTCCCTCCCCTGGGGGGGACAAGAGGGTTGGAGATGGGGGATATCTGGGAGGAGAAGATAGCAACAGCGAGGGCGTGGGCCTGCACGCAAACCTTTCGCAGGGCCGCGCGGGCTTCCCGGGTCGGGGCTCGCGCTCGCGCGCGCCAGGGGGCGAGGTGGGCAGAGCGCCGGTCCAACAAATCCGCGCGGACCTGCGAACATTGATGCTTAGGTAGCGTTTGTGCTGGAGTGGAGGAGGCCGAACGCCACTGGCCATGTAGTTTAGCCGACCCCGGTGTGAGGCAGCCTGGAGGCTAGTCCAGAGCACCGGTGGGAGTGACTCTGGTGTAGTTCGCTGTGGTTTCACGTGTTCCTTGAAGGGGCCCTGGGACACACAAATAAATACACACGAATTCGCCGGCCCAACGGGCCAGGGCGTGCTAAGATCTCCGGTAACTGGTTAACAGTATTAACAGTATTTCTAGTTCGCGCGCGCGGGGCGGCCCCTGGGGGTCCCCCGGCGAAAAGTACCCCGACCAACGCCCGGTCGCCGCCCGACCAAGTCTACTCAGAGATGGTTTTCCTTCTGGGTGCGGCCTCTCAGGCTCCCCAGAGCGCGCTCAGAGTGCCCCAAGAGGCCCCCAAGACTGCCCAAGAGGCCCCCGAGACGCCCAAAGAGCGCTCGAAGACGCCGAAGATGACCCCAAGACGGCCCAAAAGGCCCCCAAGACAGCCCAAGAGGCCTCCAAGACGCCCCAAGAGCCTTCCAAGAGGCCTCCGAAGAGAGCCCCAAGAGGCCAAAATCGTTGATTTTCATTGTGTTTTTTCTATGTTTTTTGTGTTCTGGCTTTTTCGGCTTCCGGACGCTCCAAGACGGCCCAAGAGGCCCCCAAGACCGCTCCAAGACGGCCCACGAAGCTCCCAAGACGGCGCCGAAACGACCCAAGAGAGCCCTCAAGACGGCCCAAGTGCCGCCCAAGACGGACCAAGAGGCCCCAAGACGGGCCCAAGAGGGACTCAGGAGGGATACCGAGAACTCAAAAATGGAGCCCTCCGTCCCAGAAGGCGCCCAGGAGGTCCCAAAGAGGCCCCAAGAGGCCTCCAAGAGGCCCCAAGATGTCGCCAAGAGGCCCCAGGAGACTCCCAGGAGGCCCAAAAGAAGCCCCAGAAGGCTTCAAACATGTCTCCCAGGCGCCCCCGAACGGCCTCTCAACAGACCCCAAGAGGCCCCCCAAAGAAGCATCTTGACGACGACTCTATTTCGCCCCATCGAGAGACGACCCCCAGGGAACTGCTTCACCATCAAAACTCCCCACGCAACGCGTCCGAACGACACCCGCCCCCAAGAGCGCAACATGGGCAACGAACACACAGACAAAAACCAGCGATGCCATATCACGGGCCGGCGGAATGAGCGAAGCGATTCAATAAAAATATGATACCGGAGAAAAGCCCCAATCAGAATCTGTTTGGGGCTATAGGGCTATAGGGCTATTGGGCTGTATGGCTATCAGGCTACTATAAGGCTATTGGGCTATAGGGCGATAAGGATATAGGGCTATAAGGCTGTAGAGCTACAAGGCACCGGGCACCCGGGCACCCGGCACCCGGGCACCCAACCGGGCACCGGGCACCCGTCACCCGGGCACCCGGGCACCCGGGCACCTGGGCCTGGCCACCGAATCGGCGGCGAACCCGGGAACCCGGGCACCCGGGCACCCGGGCCCGGCCACCGAAATCGGCCGCACCTCTCACCTCAGCCTCCGCTAGGACCCCTACAGAGGCAAGCTCTGATTGGGGAATACCCCATAGTTTCCTATATTTTCTGGGCTTTTGTCTTCCCTCCCCCTTCCCGCATTTTCCCATATTTTCCTGTCTGTGTGCTTCTTCCCCTCCTGAAGATGAAGTCTCCAAGGGTTCCTGGAAGTCTCCGGAGGCGGAGGAGGAAAAGCAGGAGGAGCAGGAGGAGGCGGGAGAGCGGGAGGATCCAGCGCTTCACGCGAGGAGGGGGAGGGGGAAGAGGAGGAGGAGGAGGAGGAGGAGGAGGAGGACGAGGAAGAGGAGGACGAGGAGCAGCCGCGCCGTGGCGGCCGCCGACGCGCGTTCTCCCCGCGCGCGCTCGGCGGCGGGAGAGCGCCCCGCGACTCAGCAGGGAGCCGGCCCCCTGGGCCTGCAGGGCCTCCCGCGAGCGGGCACGCGCCCTGAGGCTCCTCTCGCCGCTGGCGCGAAGTCGGGCCTGTCCCTCCACAGGAAGGAAATCCAGACACAGTCAACAAATAGTCAGGAGACGATGTGTTTCACCGTTGTTGCATATTATATGGGTATTTTTTTGACTATTTTGAATTTTTCGCCCAGCATCGGCCTGTAAGGGGACATGCCCGACCCAACCCTGGGACCCCCCTGGCAGCTGCCGTCGCCGCCCCACCCGGCCCCACCCCTCCCCGGCGCGCGCAGCAGCAGCAGCACGGATCTCAGGGGTTGCTTGATGGGCTTGTTTTCCACCACCACCACCACCATAAGTTGGAGGGGGAGGGGGTCTTCCTCTTCCTCCACCACCTCCTCCTCCTCCTCCTCCTCTCCTCCACCTTATGGTGGCGGTGGTGGAAAGCGGGCCCATCATCGCTCTGGCGAGGCTGCCACCTCGGCGGGGTCCCTCCTCTCGCTGCAGGCCCGCCTCGAGCCGCGCTCCCTCGGAGCCTTGGGTGCAGCCCTGGGGGTCGCGAGCGTCCTGCTCCCCCCCCACTCGTGGCCCGCGCCAGCGTGCGGCCAACCGCTCAGATCTCAGCGGAGGTCGCAGAAGAAACTTGAGCAGGGACCGACCGTGCCGGCATTCCTATAGTCCTACCACTAAGTGTTCTTAGAACCCCAAAAATGTTGGAAGAACAGAAACACTGTTCTTAGAACATAAGCCCGATGTGATAACACAAGACAGACTCCGCCAGCCAGAAATGTTCTAAGAACATCTCGTGGGAACCACAGAAGGTTCTTGGAACATTGCTGGGTAGGGCCATAGGCGAGCCAGGACGCTTGGCCACTGCTTGAGAAGTGGGGCTCGCGGAGACCTCCTCCAGCCCACTGCCGGCCCCGACTGGCAGCCGCGGGGCTCGGCAGCGGCTGGCCCCCCCCCAAGGACATCGCCGCACCCGAAGCACGACAGGAGACCGCCGTCGGGCACGGCAGCGCAAGAGAGGAGGAGGAGGACTCGCGTTTGGTCGGGCGTGTCCCCCTTCAGGGGGGTCTTGTGCGAATGATTCAAAATACTCAAAACATATTCCTCAAATGATCAGAAATAGTGAAACAAAAATATCCCCATCCCCCGAACCACTATGGGCCTGAATTGGCAGCTGCTGGCCCAGCAACCGCTGGGCAAGCAACATGTGGGTGCCGACGCCGTCGCACGGCAGGCCGCCGCGGCCTGGCGCGGCACACAAGCAGAGGGCGCAGCAGAAGGCCTCGCGGAAGGAGGCCGTGCCACGGCGCCGAGGGGGCGCAGCGAGCGGGCCAACGCGCGCGCAGCAGCGCGTCGCTGAGCTCCTCGCCAAGCACCGCTGGAGCCAACATCCACAGCAGCACGACGAGGCGCCCACGCGAGTCCCCTTAGCGCCACGGCCCAGCGGCCTGGGGGGAGGGGGTTTCCCTGGGTAGGCGGGCGGCAGACGAGGGCCAAAGCCCCGCCCGCCGACCCAGGGCCGCCCTATGGCCACTCTGGGAACCACAGGGTGCTGGAGCCGCCGTCGAACACACTCCCGAGCAAGCGCACTGGGCAGAAATAGACTGACTGGTGACTAGTGACTAGTTGCTCTTGAGGCACCGCAGTGCAATCCGCCGACGCAGGCGCCCTCGGATGCTCGACGAATGCGATGCAGCTTAGCCTTCCCCACTTGGAAAGCCCTCGCGCCTGACATAGAGCGCCTTGGAATGCCCCGAGTGCGACAGGATACGCAGCGCTCGCAGAACATCGTAGCTCCAGCTCGTCGTAGGCGCTGCCCGTCATGTTCAACTACCTCCTGACAGTTCCGACAAGATGCTACCACACCTTCCGCAGCTGGCCACCTCAGCACTCCTCCTCCTCCTCCTCCTCCTCCTCCTCCTCGGCCGCCTCAGAGGGCAAGATACGCAGCGAGCCAAGCTTCTTAACGTGAGCTTCCCCGCCCTGACTTTGTCGATGACCGAGGGCCGAACACTCCGACCGTAGAAACGGCGCCAGCGTGTGGCCAGCCTTTTTTTCATGCGTGAGCCGACGACACCTCCGACACCTCAGAGCTCCTGCTGCCAATCCCACCGAAGACGTGGTACACCACTTGCAGCACCTTCTGAGGAGCTCTTACCGAAGAGATGGAGCGAACTCAACTTCAGGCTCCAAGCCACCCACTTTGAGCATCCGGTGCATGGCCCAAGCCACATACTGCGCTATCTTACGATGCAGCACATCCTCAAGCTTGAGCACCTATTCGTACACGTTCGGCAATTTGTGCTGCAAGGCCGCTTCACGAACGAAGCGGTCCGCCCATGAGTTGCCCGTGTCGAAGATCTGTGGGATGCCCAGCTCAACGAACTCCTGAAAGGATTTCTGCGTCGGCACCCAGCAGAATAACGCGCGCCGAAGCCCAGCAGCCAGCTTGCCCTGCCTCCGAATCGCGCAGCGCGTGCGCATCGAGAGAGCCTGACCACATCCTGGCCTCCTCGCATAGAGCCAACTGGTCCGTGCGAACGAACTCGAAACTCCCAACAAGCTTGAACGCCACAAGGCCCGCACCTCGCAGCCCCGCCAACGGACTGCAAAGGGACCAGGTAGCGAGCCGCACGCACCGCGAAGAGGCAGACACGCCTGACTCAGCTGTGCACGGGGAGGATGAGGAGGGGGAGGAGGAGGAGGAGGAGGAGGAGGAGGAGGAGGAGGAGGAGGAGGAGGAGGAGGAGGAGGAGGAGGAGGAGGGGAGGGGAGGAGGAGGAGGAGGAGGTGGAGGAGGAGGAGGAGGACAAGGAGGAGGACAAGGAGGAGGAGGAGGAGGAGGAGGAGCAGGCGGAGGAGGAGGAGGAGGACCGAGGCCTGGCGCAGCCGTGCGTCGCGTCTGATCGCCACGCACGAGAAGCGGGGCACGAGGCACGAGGCTGGGCGCCGCTGTCCGAGCAGAACCGCGGGGGCGGCGGGGGCGGCGGGAGAGGAGAGAGGGGGAGGAAAGCCCGCCACAGCGGAGCCCTCCCCCTCCTCCTCCTCCTCCTCCTCCTCCTCCTCCTCCTCCTCCTCCTCCCCCCCCCAAACGAAGCGCCCGGACGGAACAGCATCTCGTCGTCGGAGCTCGGGGAGGCGAGGAGAGGGGGGGGGAAGTGGAGAGGAGGACGAGGGGAAACTGGAGGGAGCAGGCGGGGGGCTCGAGCACCACCTCGGGAGACCAGGCCTGCGGCGGCGGGCGGCAGGTCGGGACGATTCCACCCCGGGAAGGCCCTCGACGAGGCGCAGCTGATGGAAACCACCCTGGGCTTCGGAAACTTTCGAAAACCAGCGAAAACTTTCGGACATACCCACTCGGCTATCCCCCCCTGCCCAGACCCCCGACGATATGTTTGTTTCATAGCGTCGACCCGCCAAGGTCTCGACCCACTGCTCAGGACCGGTTTTTCATCCTGAGTCGTTCCTCGACGGCCCCGAAGCCCGATAATGGCCTCCCCAAACTGAAAGTTTGAAACACCCTCCCGTCGTGTTTGACGGAAAGCGCGCGTAGCGTCGCGATTCGTTAGTCGGGAGAAATAACACGGGGGAGTGTGAGGGGGTTGGCCTCGCCACCCACAGGGCTGCATTCCCAATGTTCGGCCATGTCCTGCCCCAAGAGCGCCTCAGAAGGCCCAAAGACGGCCCAAAACAGCTTCAAGAGCGCCCAAGATATCTCCAAGGCGCCCTCAGAGAGGCCCAGGAGGACCCCAAGACGGCCCAAGGGCGCTCAAAGGGGGCCCAAGATGACCTCAAGACGGCCAGAGAGGCCCTCAAGACGCCCCACGAGGCCCTCACAAGGACGCCTAAGAGGCACAACTCATCCCATTCCTGTGGGAAACGGAATTTTCTAGCATATTCGCTTCTTTGGTTTTAACAGCGTCCACGACGGCCCAAAAGGCCCCCAGGATTGCTTTCCGTCCCAGTGCTGAGCAGGTTTCTCTAGAAGAAGAAAGCACGCCATAAACATAAACTGTTGGCGCTCCGCGCGGATTTCTTGGATCTACGATGGACCCCCCTCTCTGGCGCGCGGAGCACGAGCCCCCTCCCTCGAGGGGGTCTGGGTAACACGACAACCAGCGGTTCGCGCTGGAGAGGCGCTCTGCTGGGGGGGCGCTCGATGTCGTGCCAGCGCCTCAGCACCACCAGGGCTCCATGACACCCAGAGGCAACAACCCCGCGCCCTCACAAAGACATACACGCGCGTTCCGTCCTCGTGCTCAGCAGGCTTCTCGCAACTCCAGGGGGCCTGGGTACTGCGAGCCCCTCGGCTCGCGATGGAGAGGCGCCCCGCTGGGGGTGGGGGGGGGGCGGCTGGCCTCGCACCAGGCGTTGACCTGCTTGAGGTCGAGCCCCTCCTCCTTCAGGTCCTCCGCGGGCGCTATACTCCCGGAGGCGCGGCCGCCGCCGGCGTCTGTCCTCCTCCTGCTCCTGCGCAGTCCTTCCCCCCTCCTCGCCCTCCTCGTCCTCCTCCTCGCCCTCCTCCTCCTCTTCCTCCTCCTCTCCCACTTACACCTGCTCCTGATCCCTCCTCTTCTTCTTCTTCTTCTTCTTATTCTTCTGATTCCTCGTCCTCCTCCTTCTCTTCCTCATTGTCCTCTTCCTCCCTACTTCTGCTCCCTACTCCTTCTCCCTCCTCCTCTCCCTCTCCCTCCTCCTCCTCCCTCCTCCTCCTCCCTCCTCCCCCTCCTCCCTCCTCCTCCCTCCTCCCTCCTCCTCCTCCCCCTCACTCCTCCCTCCTCCCTCCTCCCTCCTCCCTCCTCCCTCCTCCTCCTCCTCCTCCTCCTCTCCTCCTCCTCCTCCTCCTCCTCTTCCTCCTCCTCCCCCTCCTCCCTCCTCCCTCCTCCCTCCTCCTTCTTCTCCTCCTCCTCCTCCTCCTCCTCCTCCTCCTCCTCCTCCTCCTCTTCCTCCCCCTCCCCCCAGCAATCCTACTTCTTCTCGCCCTCCTCCTCAGTCTCCTCCTCCTCCTCCCTCCTCCTCCTCCTCCTCCTCTTCCTCTTACTCGTCCTCCTCCTCTCGCGCATCCTCTCCTCCTCCTCCTCCTCCTCCTCCTCCTCCTCCTCCTCCTTCCCCTCCTCCTCCTCCTCCTCCTCCTCCTCCTCCTCCTCCTCCTCCTCCTCCTCCCCCTCCCCCATCCATTCTACTCCTTCCCACCCTCCTCCTGAGTCTCCTCTCCTCCTCTTTCTTCTTCCTCTTTCTCTTCCTCCTCCTTTGTATCCGCAGCATTGTGTTTTCTTCTCTTTTTTCTCCTCCTCCTCCTCCTCCTCCTCCTCATTCTCCTCTTCCTCCTCCTTTTCCAACTACTCTTCCCCTTCTCCTCTTTCCCATGTTCCATCCTGTTCCTCCTGCTCCTCCTCCTCCTCCTCCTTCCTCGCCCTCCTCCTCCTCCTCCTCCTCCTCTCCTCCTCCACTTCGTCCTCCTTCTCCTCCTGATCCTCCTCCCCTTGTTGCTAGTCCTTCTTCTCCTCCCTCCCCTCCCTCTTTCTCACCTCCCCCCTTCCTCTCCCTGCTTCTCTCCTCCCCCCATCCCCCTCCCATTCCCTTCACTCCGTCCTCCTCCTCCCCCACCTCCTCCTCCTTCTCCTTAGCACACGACCGCGGGCTGGCAGGAAGGCTGGCCCAGCGCAGTCGGAACAACTTGTAGCCCCCCCCCCCCATGACTGCGCGGACCCATTTGCTCTCCTCCCGCCGCGCCCACGACGCAGTGTGGCCTCAAAAACGCCCCCAAAAATTATCGAGAGGCCTCTTCTTCATCCTGCCATCCTCTTCCTCCTCCCCCTCCTTCCCCATCTCTCTCGCCACGAGCACATCAAACGCGCCGCTCCCGGGCTTCTTGGGGCCACCAATCTGGCGGCCCCGACAACCTCATGGAGGCCCTCTTGACACGTCTTGGCGCTCTCTGTCTGGGAGAGCTCCCGGGACGTTGGCCCTCTTATGGAGGCTTGAAGTCGCTGGGTTGGGCCCCTCGTAACGCCGACCTCATTCGGTGCATGTGCATATGTTCAAAGAGGTAGTTATTACATGCATGTCTTCATGTATGGAGTCGGGTTTATATGTATATAGAGGTGCATCGAGGTATATACATATGCGTGTGCATATATATATATACATACACAAACATGTACACTTATATCCCGACATACAAGCCAAATGTTCTGGACGGTTCTCGGCGACCGCCTTGGGCCGCCAAGGACGGACCGCAATGCCCCTGGACTCTCCAAATGTCCCCTAGAGCTACCTGCCCCCCAACCTCTCCGAAACCCGCCCAGGACCTCATCCTCCCTCCTCGTCCTTCGCATGAGGAATACGAACGGACGAGGAGGATGAAGAGGAGGATGAGGAAGAGGCTGAGGAAGAGGCTGAGGAGGAGGAGGAGGAGGAGGGTCCTCGGTTACGGGTGGGCGGATACCCTTGCCAAGGAAAATGTCACACATCACGTCTCACCGAAAGATGTTGAACATCTTGAAGCCGCCTGTAAACGCGCCGATCGGCAAACAAATGAATAAAGAAACGACCACAATAGGACTTTTGTTTTGTGTCGCCCCCTCGGTTGAGCACCCTGCCATTGTGTGTCTCAGGTGCCCCCCCTGGCGAGCGCCACCCTTCATATCAGACCCCACGTCAGGTGGGAGAGGGCCCCTCTCGTTGTTTGGTTCGCCACTACGTGCCCTGTCATTCTAAATGTATAGGAGGAGGAGGAGGAGGAGGACGAGGAGGAGGAGGAGGAGGAGGAGGAGGAGGAAGAAGGGGAAGAGTAGGAGGAGGAGGAGGAGGAGGAGGAGGCTGAGAAGAGAGTAGATCGAGTAACAAGGGTAGGAGGGGAAGAGACGCGGGAGGAAGCCGCGGAAACTCGAAACTCGTACTTCCCCTCGCCTCCCCATCGACACCCGTGTCCTCCTTCGTGCCTACGAGGATGAAGGAGCAGTTGTCGTTGTGCTCCTGGACTCTCCTCGCCGCCCGGCCCCCGCCGCGCTCCGGGCGCTCCCTGCCAGGACGACCGTTGGGAGGCAAGGGCGTCGGAGGGGGCGAGGGGGGTGAGGAGGAGGAGGAGGAGGAGGAGGAGGAGGAGGAGGAGGAGGAGGAGGAGGAGGGGGAGGCGAAGGAGGAGGAGGAGGAGGGAGGAGGAGGAGGAGGAGAGGAGGAGGAGGAGGGGGAGGCGCCAGAGGACGAGGAGGGAGGTAGCAGCTCGGGAGAACGAGGAGGAGCAGACGACGAGGCGGCCCGGCCCTGCCGAAGCGGCGCGCTGCATCCAACGCTACCCGAGCGGGCCCTCGGGCTCCTGCTCTCGCCGGGCTCTGGCCTCCGCCGCGTGGGGCGGCCCCAAGGCCTGGGCCTTTGCCAGAGTGAGCCCAAGGGGGACACACACACACAGACACAGACACACACACAGACACACAGACACACAGACACACACACACAGCACACAAACAACACACACAACACACACACATTTATACATACATATATTTATATATACATATAGATATATATTCATGTGTATATACATGCACACATTCATACATGCATATATATATATATATGTATACACGTGCAAACGTTTTGTATGTTTTGTGTTTTCTTGTTTTTGTTGTTATCTTTTTTTATTTCAAGAAGAACCGAACAAACAAAAACGGGCCTGCGTGGGCCCGTCGGAGGAGGGCCCTCGGGGCCCGACCTTCTTCTGGACGACCGCGCTCGCACCGCCGATGTGCCCCGCCCCCAACTCCTCCGCGTGGACGCCCCTTCCGATGGCGCCTCGCCGACGACAGAGCACCACGCTTCGTGGGCGCGCCGGCTATCGGAGCAGGTGGGCACGGATCGGCCGAGCCCCGGCCCTTGTTTTGTATCGGACGCACAGCCCGAGCAGCGCAGGCAGTGCAGGAGCGTGCTCGCCGCGGGCTGGGCTGCCCTCCTGGCCTCGTCGGTCGGGCAGACGGGCGCCGCGATAGGAGGAGGTGGCCGTCCGCCCGCCGCGGCGGGAGGCCTGCCTCTGGCCTCTGCGCCTGCGACGGCCGCGGGGGCGGCGGGGGGCGGCCGAGCAGGGCGACGGCGCGCCAGCCTGCCTGGGGCTCCGGAGGGGGGCCTGGTTCAACCCTCCGAGGCGGGCGGCTGCGTGGGCGGATGCGCCTCCGAGGAGCTGCTCCAGCTGCTGTTCCAGCTCGAGGCTCGGCGGGGCCGAGGTCGTGCTCGTGGTCGTCGCAGATGTCGTCCAATGTTGGTGGGACTTCGCCCAGGTCGATGGCCCTGAGCGCCTCCACCCCCATGCTGTCCCTGACCTTCTTATCACTGAGCATCGCCGCCTGCGTGCCAACACAATGCCTTGCAATCCTGACGACATAGCGGTACCCTGCCAAGACCAGGATGTCCTTCCCAGTGGCTCGGGCCAGCTTTGCGCCGGCCTGAGGCCTGCTGGTCTGCCTCGCGGTTGCAGTCCAGCTGCATCTAGGCGATGCCTCCGTCTGCCACTGCGTTCTGGCCAAGGTGCGTGCACCTTGGCCTCGATGATTTGGACTCCATCACGTCGGGTGTGCTCGCAGCTCCTTGGGTCCAGCTGCCCGAGGCGGCCCCGTGGCACAGCGTGCCGTGGCTAGGCGCTCGATCCTGCGATCTGGTCCGCCAGCATTGTGAATGCGTAATCCTCGTCATCTCACGGTAGCTGGTCGGGAGCTTGATCGAGCGGGGCCGCCCCCCATGCCGCTGCTGGGAAGTGGCTGCTGGGGTCGCGCTTGATCGTTGCCCAGCCAGCGGTGCGGAGGGCTCTTGACTGCCTCGTGCGCCGCTGAGCCTGACCTCGTGAAGGCCTGCTCTGTGCAATCCTGCCGCCTCCTCTTGCTCTCCTGGATGTCCGTCTGGGCCTTCTGCCCAATAGTGACCCGTATCGGGCCCGAGAACGCAGGCCCGGCGGCCGTCTGGTGGGCGAGCTCGCCCCGCGAAGCCTGCGCGTGGCCGGCTTCGCGCAAGATGGCCCCTTCCGCTTCGAGCTCGAAAAGCAGCCGCTGGGTCGTCTCCGCCGGCGCTGCTTCGAGCTGCTGCTTGTCGCCGAATCCGAGCGCGTCGTGGCTGGGTGGCGGAGGGGCAGACGCCGCTGAGCGATCGTCGACGCTCGGTCTCCGTGTTGGCGCCCGCGAGGGTCTCCAAGTTGGCGCCCGCGAGGCCGAGACCGTCCACCGCGCGGGCCGAGACCGTCGCAGTGGTCGTAGCTTCGGCCGGGGAGATCCGCCTGGAAAGAATGCCGCGCGGGGGTCCGCTCCACACTTGGCGGGGCTTGGCCGAACCGAGCAGCTTGGATGGGATGATGCTGGCGCCTGCGGAGACTGCGGTGGCAGCCTCGCCCGCCCAGTTCACCTCGCTGCTGGCGAACTGAATCGCTGAGCGTGCTGCCCAGCCATGCGCGCCAAACAGCGGGCCTGCCTCTCCGCGGCTTTCGATGTGCAGAGGGTCCCCTGGACCAGCTTGACATGCGGAAGTTGCCCTTGGCTCTGCAGCCGCTCGAAGGCATTGGCCGCGGTGCCCCAACTACTGCCATTGCGCGTCACGATCAACGGCGGCCCCCCCCCCCCTAGCTGGATAGTGGGTGATCTGGCCCCCTGGATCGGGGATCAGCTGGGCTGGCTGGAGCTGCTGCGAGCCGGCCGCCGTGGGAGTCCGCCGCTTCCCTGCAAGGGGCTTCAGCCACCCGCCCGTCGGCGGCCGTTGCAGCTGCTGGGTCCGGGCCTGGCCCGATGGGGGCTTCGGCCGCCCGCCCGTCGGCAGCCCCCGCGCGCCCTGGGTCTTGGCCCTTCGTGGCGGGGGGCTTCGGCCGCCCGCCCGTCGGCGGCCCCGTGCCCGAAGTGCAGCCCTGGCGCCCCGGTGAGCGGGCCACTGCCGAAGTTGCACTGCGCCGGCGCGACGGTCCGCGCTGGGACTCGGCCGCCCGTTCGTCGGCGGCCCCCGCGAGGGCCGGGCCGTGGCCTGGCGGGGCAGGGGCTCCGACCGCCCGCCCGGCTGCCAAAATGATGGGTCTTCTTCCGCACCTGACGGAAGCCGCCCCATGGCGGTGGCCGCGAGCGTGGTCGCTGGCTCTCCGCCATCCAGTGGCCGCGGTGTCTCGCGGCGTTCCTGACGCGGCGCCCGCCCCAACCTGCGCTGGACCAGCTGGGAAGGGGCGGGGGGCAGCCAGCGCGCGAGCTTCCGTGAGACACCCAGCCGCCGCGTGAGCTCTTGCCCCCAGGTCTCGACGCAGAGCCCTCGCAGGTTCTCGAGGTCCCGCGCAGTGCTCGGCGCCTCCTGCCTTCGCCCCTGCCCTATCTTCCGGCGCAGCAGACCCCTCGCGCCGGACGAATGCGGGAAATACGTCGGGAACGCACCAACTCTGCCAGTCCTTGCCGCTGGCTGAGTATGAGGGTGTTGCAATCCTGGTGCTCGGCAATCTGGCCAGACGGCTCGCATTTCCCCACGCGCAGCTCGAGCGACCCGTCGAAGTTCGCGGCCTGGCCCAGTTCGCTGGAGGGCTCGTCAACGTAGTGGTTGATCCCATGTGTGTGTGTGCGTGTGTGTGTGTGTGAGAGAGAGTGAGGGGGGTAACGATCTGCTGTCTAACCGCCTTGGGGCCCCGCTTTGCCACGCTCTGGATGCGGCGACTCTGCCACCCGCCCCTCAGGGTCACAGACCATGGGGCAGTCCAGGTTCCGCTGGTGGCACCCCCTGGCTCGAGCCCCATCGGCGCCCGGCCTCCCCGCCGACCTGCCTGGCCAGCTCGACCGGCCCCCTGGGTCGGATCGAAAGGCCGCGGCGCGGCCCTGAGGTGGGTAAACGCACAGGGGACGCACCCGTGCCGCCAGCTGGCCTCCGTCTGCCACTCTATCATGATGAGGTTGGGGGTTCATCCCACGGACATCTGGCCATGTGCTGCCGTGAGTCTGCCCCTCTCGTGCCTGGCCAGTTGAGCTGCATGCTGTCCTTCGCAGTTTGCAGCGATGTCCTGATCCTCGTAGTGGTGGGTCACATCGTCGTCGTCGCGGCAGTTTGTCAAGCCCGACTCTGGACCACTACTGCGATGCCAACTGCCCACCGGTTTCCGGCCGCCGCAACGTCGCAGACGCCGCCGCCACCTCGGCCTCCAGCATCCTGGACTTCGCCTGGGCCGCCTCGACGGATGCTGGAACGACCTCCTGCGACTTGACATACTGCTCTGCCGGGAGTAGCCCTTTGCACAGCTTGAGTGCCCCTTCAGGCTGGAGCAGGGCAGCTGCCAGCGGCGGCCACTCCGCTGCCGACGAAGTCTCCCTGCGTGACTACTGGGAGCTGCCACGGCCAAGCGGGTTGCGGGAGGCCTGCCGCCAAGGAAGCCGCTTCGGAGCAGGCGAAGCGGGCCCCGCAGTACCAGCACAGCCCGCCTGGCGACCCCTGAGCTTGCCCCCCTCGCTCGCCACTGCCGACGCCTTTGGCTACTCCGGCCAGCGCCACGCCGCACCGGCAGCACTCCGAGCGGGAGCGGCAGTTCCAGCTGCAATCGCAGCCGCTGCACGCGAGGCACCGGTCCTCGGCGCAGGGTGGGCACACGGCGTCCGTCGCTGCCTCGCCGTGGAAGCCCAACCGGGCGGCAGCGCGCCGCCTCCGAGCGCAGCGCGGCACGCTCCGAGGCCCGCGCGCGCCGCGCTCGCCTTCGTCAAGGAACGGCCGGCGGTCGACGAACCACCTCAGATGACGAAGAGGCGGCGGAGGAGGAGGAAGGGAGGAGGAGGAGGAGGAGGAAGAGGAGATGACAATAACTCCGTCACATACACCGGCGACGAACAGGTCGGGCCGAGCCGTCAAACGACCACGGGTCTGGTGGCTCTTACACACAAGGTGGATCACCACAGTCTCCAAGAGAGCCCAGAACCGAATCGACAAGTCGGATAGGCGATCGAAATGAATCGGATGGGTCAAATCGGCAGCCGAGTCGGCAAAAATCGAATATGCAGAAACCGTAACCCATATCGGAATCCCACGTCGAATCGAATCGGAATCGGAAGCCATCGAAATCGGATCGAATCGAATTGGAGGAATCGAAGCGAGTCCTGCTTCTCTGCGGAATCGCATCATGAGCAGGAGGAGGAGATGACGAGGAGGAGGAGGAGGAGGAGGAGGAGGAGGAGAAGGAGGAGACAGAGGAGCAAGTGGAGGCTCATGGTTTCCGACAACTTAGGCGGGGCGAACAGGGCCATCCAGAAGGTGGGCCGTCGAAAGGGTGCATGGAACGGCTTTCGGGGAGGCGTTCCAAGATTTCTGGAACGCCTTACCGCCCAGCGTTCGGAGCAGTTCGGTCGCCTCGGCCCACGGCCCGCTACCGCGTCGACATGGAGACACCTCGAAGCGGGATCAGGCCGCACGAGTGAAGCCAAATTGTCTGCGAGGGGCAGCCTTGGAACTGCTGTTCTGCCACCCTCTCTCCTTCTCGTCCTGTGTGTGCCCGTCGACCGCCGCGCCCTTTCTATGGCGCCGAAGTGGCCACTTCGCCTGCTCTGCCCCGTGCACGCTCCCGTGCTGGCCCTCCCCCTGCCTCCGCCCACCGCGCAGCCCCTTGCCCCCTCCGCCGCCACCTCCCCTTTTCTCCCTTCACTCCCCTTTTCGCCCCGCGTCGTCGTCGTCGTCGTCGTCGTCGTCGTCGCCCCGCGTCCCACACCAGTGTCGTTCAGCGCCTCACTGATGCTAGTCCGCAACTTACATCTGCCAACCGCGCCCATTTTCTCTCGCACTCTGCCTCCCTCATCCCTCCCCCCCCCCCTCCCCCTCCCTTCCCCCAGCTCCCCTGTCCTATTTCGCCTTCCCCCGTCCCCTTCCCCTTCCCTCCCTCCATTTGCCCCTTTCTTCCAACCTCGTGCTCTCCCGCTCCCACCCCTCCCCATTCCCTCCGCCGCCAGCCCTTCCCGAACGCTGTTCCGGGAAGGCGCGCAGCCCTTCCCGAACGCTGTTCCGCGGAGGCCGAATGCAGGCCCCAAGTGGGCCATCCGTCCGGCTGATGCTCCGAGGCCCCAAGTGGGCCATCCACCCGGCTCCTGGAGGCCGCCCCCCCCGAGGCCCCAAGTGGGCCATCCATCCGGCTCATGCACGCCCCCGACCCTCGCACGCCCTGCGCGCAACCCCCTCGCCGCCCCCAGGCCCCAAGTGGGCCATCCACCCGGCTCATGGAACATCACACCGGGGCACCCAGTACCCCTGCACCGGTCCAGGGCCCCAAGTGGGCCATCCGTCCGGCTGATGCTCCGAGGCCCCAAGTGGGCCATCCACCCGGCTCATGGAACCCCTTCCCAGAGCTCCCTCGGAAAGGCGTTCCGCGCCTCGGGGGAAGGGTACTCGCGCGCCTGGCCGCCTTGGCTCCCGCGACCCAGGGCGCCCTTGCACCGATCCCAAACCACCCCGCCTCTCCCTCCCCTTCTCCTGCTCCCATGCCTCCCTCCCTCCCTCCCTCCCGCCAGCATTCCTGCCCTCTCGCCCCGCACCTCGTCGTCCCTTTTCTCCCTTTTCGCCCCGCGTCGTCGTCGTCCTCCTCCTCCTCCTCCTCCTCCTCACATGTCCTCATCCTTCCGCCCCCCCTCCTTCCTCCTCCATCATCCTCCGCAATCCTGCTCCCGCCCTCCTCCCTCATCGTCCTCCACGCTCATCCTTATGAACCTCCTTTTCCTCCTCCTCCTCCCTCATTCATCCCATTATCACCTCTCCCTCCTCCTCCTCCTTTTCCTCCTTCTCCTCCTCCTCCCCTCCTCCTCCCCCTTTTTTTGACAACCCAACGTCGAGGCAAGTTCACCGCGTCTAGAAGGGCAGCAGTACAGGTGTGGAGGACACTGAGAAAACATGAAGGGAGAAGAGATCAAAAGCCAGTGGGACCATTAAATACGCAAGAGAAGTGGAGACAGTCGAGAGGGCCCAGGGCTGTCTAGCTGGCAGGAGCTGATTCCAGCAAAGATGGTTGAGGGACGAGGTGAAAGTGGACGGCCGAGCCATCCGCAATCCCAGCTGTGATTTCTCGCACCACCGCGCTTCCATCCACCCGATGAACAGCCCACTTGTCCATCCACCCCCTGGATGGCCCAGTTCGCCCCCTCCAAACAACCACGCCGTGCTCCGTGGCACATGCAATGAAGCGGCCGACGTCCCGACAAGCTTGCGAAGTGCCTGTCGTGCACATGAGGGCGGAACAGCCAGACGTGCCCCAAGCATGGCAACCTTGCTGGTGGTGGGGCGCCTCCGTCTCGCCTTCCCTCACGCTCCTTCCTCTTCTCCTCTCCCCTCCCCAGCCTACTCAGCAGCGCCGAGACCCACTCACATTCAGATTCACTCATGCTCAACGCCAACTATGCTCAACGCCAACTGCTGGTCGTCGTCCCACGCCTTCCGGCCCCACCTCCATTGTACCGGATCTCCGCTCGGGCTTGCTGCCCGCCGCGGCCGGCCCTGGGGACACCAGATGGTACCGAGACCGCTATCGGCTACGCGCAAGAGTTGAAGGGGCCCCAGGACACACAAATAAATACACACAAATAAAACGATTCCCAGTTTTTTGCAATATTTTCTGGGTTTTTGTCTTCCCCCACCACCTCCCATATTTTCCCATATTTTCCTGGGGGTCGACGATTAATTGAGTCTGTGTGTTTTTTTCCCTCCTGAAGAGTGACGCTGGGCAAGAGTGCCCTTTGGTGCGCGGCTTTTGGGGGCCGCGTGGGGACCAAACCTGGGCACGCAGGCCGTGGCTCCTGCTTCGTTTTCAGCAACCTGGGGGCCCATCGGTGCCCGCACCAAAGGTCACTCCGGCGAAAGGTCACTCGAGTCGACGCTACTCCCCAGATCTCTCATGGGTGTGCGCTCCGACCAGGGTCTCAAGGCGGATTCACCCCGGCGGCGACCAGGGCCGCCCGGGAGACCCCAGAGGCGGGGGGGAAGCGAGGCCAGGGGGCAGCAGGATTTTCGACGAAAAGCAAAAAAATCCAAACATAATCCAAGATGGTCGAAACATACTTTTAACAAATAATCCCCGTTTTACTATTTTTGAATACTCCACCTGTAGAGGGACAGGCCCGACTTAATGGTAATCATGGTTACCCTCTCCCTTCGGGGTTCTCCTGACCCGGGTCAATGCAGAACCGGGTCAGCAGGGAGCCAACAAAAACTAGGGCTCCCAACTTCGCGCTTCGCGCTCCGCGAAGCGCGAATAACTTCGCGCTCTCGCGCCGCCCCCCCAGAGGGAGAAAAGGAGAACGAGGAGGAGGGGGAGAAGGAACGAGGACCGCGAAGCGCGAAGAACTTCGCGCCCTCGTGGGAGCCCTTGAAAACCTGAACTGCAAGAAAGAAAAATGCAACGCAGGTCTTCGCAAACCCGGGTCAGCCAAGATGCGCGGCCGCCTCGCGGCCACGAGCGGCTCGCCGACCCGGGTCGGCCAGAGGAGGTCCTCGCAGGGTCCGGTGCCCTGGCTGACCCCCGCATGCACTGACCCCCGTCTCTTAGGCCCCAATCCCTCTCCTCCTCCGCGGCCCCGGCCCCTCTTCATCCACCACTCGGCGTTGTCGAACGTCGACATGTTCGACATGTCCCAGCACAGCAGGCAGACCTCCGCCGGGCGCGCGGGGGGCGCGTGCCCTCGCAGAAAAGCTGGGAGGGGGCGGCGAGGGCCCTCGTCGCCATCGCCCCGGGGGGGGGGGGTCGGCCTCGGGGGGTCCCGGCCAGAGCGGGCTCCAGGACGAATCAAGAGGCTAGAGGCCTCGGGAAATCAACGAACATTGTTAGACTCACGGATCGAGAGCGCACCTCTTCCGGTCGAAGCTAAGCGGGCCGCGCGAAGCTTGAATTAACACTGAGGGGAAATCAACGAACACTCATGCCGCATTCATCTGTCAATGCCCCCGCCCCCAATGATCACAGTGTTGGCGGTGGATTGAATGGGCTGCACTTTGACCGCAGTCTTCCCCGCGCGTGCCAGCTTTGAGCTTCGGGGGGGGGCATTGGACAAGGAACCCTGAGACAAGGAATCCAGGGTCTGGATCGGGGCCTGTGCATGGACATCTCCGCCGCCCTCATCAGAGAAGGGAGCCCCCAGGGTCTGAAGCCTCCCGGGCACAGTCCTTCTCCAAGACCCCCCACCGCATTGTTCAGGGGGGGAGGAGGGAGGAGGAGCGGGAGGAGGGGGACGAGGAGCATGAGGAGGCGAGGGAGAGCAGGAAGACGAGGGGGAGGCTTCTTGGGGCCTCCCTGGGGCTTCCTGGGGGCTCCTTGGGGAGCTTCCTGAGAGCTTCGTGGGGTTCCTCGTGAGGAGGAGGAGGAGGCGGAGGAGGAGGAAGAGGAGGAGGAGGAGGAGGAGGAGGCGGAGGAGGAGGAGGAGGAGGAGGAGGAAAGGAGGAGGAGGAGAGGAGGAGAGGCGGGCGGAGGAGGAGGAGGCACCCGCGAAGGGGTGGGCGCCTGCCTGCGGCAGGCCCGTGGGCCACGACGTGCCCGGGCGGATCGGCGGAGGGCCTCCTCGCGCCGCACGCCCTGGCCCAGGGGCGCAGTCGGCGGCATCCGCGGGGACGCGCAGGGCGGGGGGGAGGGGGGGGGGAGGGAGGCAGGGGGGGAGGGAGGAGGAACGAGGAGGGGAAGGGGAGGAAAGAGGCATCTGAGGGACATGAGAGGGGGAGAGGAAGTGGGGGAGTGGGGGGAGGAAGGGGGACATCATGGGGATATGAGGAGGAGGAGGAGGAGGAGGAGGAGGAGGAGGAGGAGGAGGAGGAGGAGGAGGAGGAGGAGGAGGAGGAGGAGGAGGAGGAGGAGGAGGATCCTGATCCTGATTCGCTGGAGGCAGCCGCCGAACAGGCGCGAACACAGCCGGCACCCCATAACCCGAGTCGTGAAAGGGGCCCCTGCGTTGGTCTTTGCCAAAGGAAGGCAGTACTCTAGCACTCTAGGTTTGGGTCGGGCCCCCCTACAGGCGGATTTGGGACGAAGCATAAAACAATAGCCAAGCCATATTCAAACATCGCAAGAAAATCATCGACACATCGTCCCCGTACTGTGTTTTTTCCACTGCTGCTGCTGCTGCTGCTGCTGCTGCTGCTGCTGCTGTTGCTGCGACCACAGCTTTTTAGTTCAAGACCCTCGTAGCTGAGCCAATTGTAAGGCAGACTTCTACCACGCAACCGGTAGAGCGGTACTTGAAAAAGTGTTGCCTTGATCCCCTCTCGCACACAACAGTACAGTGTTCACATGGACCATCGAGAGGGTGCGGCAAATGGCGCTGCCGACGCCTCCACGAGGGGAAGGGATGAGCGTCCCTCCTTCCGCTCGGCGCTCGACGAGATCAGCCGAGAGCGGAGCCCCCGTCGGGGTAAGGGCAATGACCAGAGAGCTCATGACAACAAATCAACGAGCACTCCGGACATTGCACAGCTTCGTCAACTCATGGGAGAGATGATTAAATCAAACATGCAGATGCAGAAGACCATTATGGAGAATATTGGGCAGCTGACCCAGGCTATGCATGCCACGATGCAGCAAGCAGGGTCGGCAGCTGCATCCGCAGCTGCGGAGGCAGAGCGTGCCGCCGCCAACACAGCAGCAGTGGCAGCCACTACAGCAGCGGCCGTCGCCACAGTAGCCAGCACTGGTGGCGCCCCTGCGCCCGCCGCGGCAAGCAGTAACACGGGCAAGATCCCAAAGGACCTCCAGGGAGCCCTCGAAAAGTTGCGGTCCACCTTCGAGGGCGACCTGCGGAAGTGGATTAACGCCAAGAAGCGGGCTGAGCGAATCGAGCGCGACGTCAAGATCTTCTCCGAAGGGCCAGGGCGATACCCACCTGGCACCAGGCCGTTCCGATCCTCATCGACGTTATCGGAGCTGGATGAGAAGTGGGAGAAGAGCACCACTGGTGAGCACAGCATCACCATCACCATTCCCAAGGAGTCCACTCACAGGGAGGCGATGGCACACATGCACTGGGAGGCAGCACGGATCCACAAGGACATCGAGTTCGCTTCAGCCCAACACAAGATGGGGACCACGAGGGCGGCTGCGCAAAGGCATACTTTTGCAGAAGCGGTCTCCGCGCTGGTCCGGGAGGCGAAGGACAAGGACCGCGCGGCGGCCCTCGGCCTCAACGAACCCTTGTACGAGACGATCCCCGAGGACGCCGTGCAGGAGAAGGCCGAAGCACTCTACCAAGCTGCAGTGGACAAAATCTCCAAAGAGGTCACCCAGAAGGAGGAAGAAGAACGGAAGAAGCATGACAAAGAAAAGGAACAAGAACGTGAACTCTTGGCAAAGGACCCAGCAAACCTCCTCGAACTTGTCATCGACGCTCGCATCGACGACAAGCTGAAGCATGAGCCCGAGGAGGCCTCCGACAGGATGGAGGACGACCATCAGCCAGAGCTGCACCCTGCCGCCTCAAAGTTCTGCGAAACGGTAATGACAAAAAACGGGGCCGCCCCGGCTGGCAAGCTGGGGGGGGGCACAACACATCGGCAACGGCAAGAGCAAGTACAACACCAAGTACAACACCAGCACGAACAACACGTTTACTGGGCATCCCAAGAAAGACGACAGGCGCAAGGGCGAGACCAACGCGTCTCCCAAAGGAGCTGGTGCTGGAAAGGGGAAGGACACAGCCAAGGGCGAAGAGTCACGAAATTGGAAGACCAAAGGGTTCCCCAAGGGACGCGGCAAAGGAAAAGGGAAGGACACGGCCAAGGGCGACAACACAAGAAAAGGCTTAGGCAAAAAACGTGGCGGCAAAGGCAAAAAGAAATGAAGCAGTCTGCAGCGCCAGTGCGCTGGATGACCAGGCTCACGGAGGGCCTGGACTTTGGAGACCTGCTCACAATCCTCAACTGGAAGGAAAATCAGCACCGCGTCAAAAGATACGATCCCCTTACGAAGTCTATGGTTGATGACAGTGCGATCCCATGGCCCATTAAATGGTTGATTTTGCGCCGACACAGGAAGCACATTTTCCAATCACGTGGGTTGCCATCGATGGAACGCGTCCGTTTGAAAGTCACTGATTTCGCGAATAGGATCAAATGGCGGTGGTATTACCAGCAGTACCCTCCAGAGGCTGTTGATTTCACTCTACCTCGCTCTTCTCGAGTCGCCCCGTTTTGCCCAGAGCACAGCATAGGCACGAACTATGAGTGGAGGATGTTGGATCGGTGGCTTACTTCTGTGAAAAAGAGGCTTCTCGATGCCGTTCGGAAGAGCCGGTCAGCACATAGGTTTGGTGATCGAAGTTATTCCAATTCTACGGCGCTCGAAAGGCTTGCCTTGAGGACCCTCAGGAGTAGCGAGTACGTTTGCCTTCCGAACGACAAGAACAGCAGGTATTCTCTTGTTCGCAAGTCCGACCTCCCAGGGATGTCGGCCAGGATACTTGACTCTAACATGTACATATGCATCAGCCCGCATGGCCTCCTGAATAGCACCATAGAGACATATCCGACGTCATCGGGCAGCCGCACGCTGGCAGACGGATGTTCAGGACCGTTTTCTTCTCGAACGCAACGTTCTTCAGCCGTCTGCAGCTCACCGTGAAGGACCACAAATCAGAAGGGGAAGTATCGTGCCGACCAGTGCACGCGACGCCCACGTACATTTTCAGCGGGCTCAGCGCGTGGGTCGTCTCAGTTCTTCGGGACAAGCTCGACGAGCGTGCGCCCCATCTCCTCCGTGATTCTTCTGATCTGATCCGCAGGCTGCAAAATTTGCACCCTGACCGCACGTGGCACTTTTGCAAGGTTGATGTGAAAGATTTTTACCTTAACGGTACGGAAGACCAGATCGTGTCGTGCGTCATGTCCTTGTTCGATGTCCGCGACACCATCTACGGTACCCTTGAGAAGGTCATTCGTTTTCTATTGCGGTGCCAATTCGTACGGGATCCTTGGGACGATTCGCCAGACAGGGTCTACCAGGTGATGTCTGGTTCAGGGATGGGGCTCCTCCATAGCGGGGAGCTCGCAGACTGCACTTTCTTAGGTCTCGTGGAGCAGCACCTCCTCCTCCCTAGCATTTTGGATGATCACGGCATCAAGGGGTATTTCAGATTCCGTGACGACATGTTGCTTCTCGGTCAAGGCCTAGCGTCCAGGACCAAACAGTTTTATGATCGAATGCGGGCCAGAGCTGTCTTCTATCCTTTGACGGTAGAGTGGTCGATGTGGAGTGTTGATTTCCTAGAGAAGTTTCCATCCACAAAGGAGATTGGAGATTCGATGTTTCACATTTTCTTAAACCCACCGCTTTGGCACCCCCGCTGGGGACGAATAGCTCGCACCGTTTTCCGATCCATGCTTCCTGGCCGAAGGCTTACGTGAACCGAGTAAACAAGCTCTGTAGCAATCCAGACCTCTTCCAAGCTTCTGTGCACGACGTCTTAGAGCGTCTGAAGGCAAACTTTGCAAGTAGCTTCACGCTGCAGGCGGTTAGAGCAGCCGCCCTGCAGAGCCAGAGGCGTTACGACACCAACGGTTCCAGGGTCAAGCAGAAGAGTTCTTGCTGGCTAGTGCTGGGTCACCACCCAGCGCTAGTGAGCCCAATTAAGAGGGCCCTCAAAGGCATCAACGAGGATGCCTTGCTCAACTCATG